ATTTTGCGGCAAATCGTTAATGTGGACTTGAAGTTTTATTCTTGACTAAAAATCTCTCTTCAGTGAACTGCTGGATAATTTTACATATTTAACATTCTCGTTTTATGTATTCTGAAATTTACCAGGGCCTTCAGTAGTATAATAGTGGCTATGTTAGTATTCGGGTTATATGTATGTGTGCGTTTTCTATGTGTAAAGAAACTTTCTTTTGGGAAGAACAGTATAAAATGTCCGCTAATTTAGACGGTTTTATTGGTTTGCTGTTACGAAATTGTTCGCAATGATATAATCACCGCATAGTAAAATCGTCTTCATGCAAAGCGAGAAGAAAATGCTCTGGCCACCTAAACGTTTCTGTTAGAATGCATTCTCCGTTAGTAACCTTTGTCAAAATTCATTTATACCGAGCAAATTGTTACAGGCGCCATAGACAGCAACTGAACCATCTATAGATATAGATGTCATTTTTTGCTGGTCACAGACTATTGACACCCGTCAGTGACGAATTCGTGACAGTTGGGGTTTAATGGGACGAATTCTCACACTTGGAAGGCCTGAGATCCTAAGCGGTTGATATTGTTGGCGCGAATCATTAAAAAACTGGGTCTTTTTATGGACAAAGTTTGCATATAACTTTCCAGCTTAAACAACTGTGTTACTATCCTCGTTTGTGAATTGCCATTCTGTGAGAAATGAAGACTTGGTTAAACTCGTTATTCACGATCTTTGAAAGAATGCGTTGCCCTCGAACATCTCAATTTTTAGTTGGAGTGATATCCCAGCTATCTTAGTGTATTGTCTGTCAGAATATATTTTTATTAGGTTGCCAAAACCATTTCGCAACTCATTATAAGGTTTACACTTCTTGGAGTTGATTAAGCAATTATGAGCGTTAAGTTATCATTGTGCTAAAGTCTAACAAACATAAGAATAGACTTTATACCCAGAATTGTACCACAATACTTCAGAACATCATTCCAATCCAAAGAAGAACCGCCTTTGTTTGGCATATCCAGTCAAGGAATATGATAAATGAGGGGTTCATCTAAACCTATTAATAATAGCAAAGTAATCTGCCAGTGACTGTATTTCGCCATACGAGAAACATTTGGGACATGAGCAAAAATGAAGTTAACGAGAACCCGTTGGATGCTCTGGCTGATAAGACACAGAAAGGGCAAAGTAGATGTGTGGTTGCTAAATTGATTTGAGTAAACCGACGAGTACTGTATTAAGTCAGAAAAAATACTCTGTTAGCTGTTCAAGAATGTATTTTAATCGTTTTCAATTATTCGGAGATCCCAATTTCAATTTTGTATATTTTTTTAAAATTTTTATCCAGTTTCTTCCTTTAAATGTGGCGGTTCTGTGTGCATGGATAAGCGGATTTCAGTTTTCGATTTATCCTGCGGCGGTTCGTGGTTTTACTTGTCTCGTAAGAATTTGCGAGGTGATAGATATCGAACAAATAACAAAACGTCAAAATGGACAAATCCAACTCGACTCGAAGTAAAATCTTTTCGCAAGTTGGAACTTTGCAGTAGGGAGCGATATTCTGATATCTAGCCTGAATCTAGCCTTTTGTCAACCCGTACTAACATTCTGAAGACAATGGGAATTTTGCCGGATGGGAGGTTTGTTAGCGCTAAAAACAAATCTCGTCATCATCTTATCTTATTAATCCTATGAAGTTGAGGAAGTACTTTAAGCTTCAGTGATTTAAGGGCTAAATCCTCTTAAAACCCCTCAGTAGACCCACAGCTAGACGTTGTTTTTAGTGCATTACACGGAGAGTTAACCGATGTGAATGATTTAATTTACGTGCCAGTGTGTTCAACTATAAAGTTGTTCCATGTTCTTAGCACAGGTTTCATCCTAGCAGATGGAATAATTCGAACCAAATATTATTGGCAATCCTCTGAAAGCAATCCTCTGTTTACCTCCGTGAAAACGTTTACTTTTCGGCATCTATTCTTTTTTTCGGCCAACCGCCTGTTTCACCTTACTAGCTCTTTTAATCTTCAGAAAGAACAGGTAATAGTTTGTGGTTGCAACAATGCGTTTTTGACCTTTCTCCAAAATGGTCTATAGGACAGATTGGACGTGAGTGGGTTCACTGCAATATTGTACGGCTTGAAGTAAGCAACTAATCGCCCTAATTTGCAATAAAAAATCAAATAAAAATATAAAAGACTATATCTGCTTTATTTGGTGGCCAAATTGCTTCTTAGTCGTGCCCCGTGGATTTCTGTGGATTTGAAAGCTTTTGGCCGGCAAGTGTCAAAATATGGCACTCAACAGAGATAGGAATCTACCGACTTTAACGGTGATAGATCAGTAAAAGAATATGAGGATCAGTGTTGAAATTCAGACATTTTCAATTAGGCATGATCTAGGTATGGAACTGTTGGAGCAGGTTGGTGTTTAACTTTTGAAAACACGAACACGACAAATTTTTAAACTAGAAACTTAATCATATGTGCTTAAATTCAACAAATACTAGTTTGTAATCCCTTCCTGAGAGCCTAGAATATTTTGCATAATAATTCTACCGCGTGTACCGTGCGACTTAGTTGTTGGAAGTTGATCTACTCCGAAGGACTTTGAATAATACTCGTTGATTCTGTTTGACAAATGTGCAACTAACTTAGTTTCCGGAAGCACGAGTTAGTGAACCAGCAACAGTCAGTCTTGCGCAGACGGGGTGTGCAACGAATTTGCATTTAATTCTCCGAGGCAAATAAAGGTCCGAGTTAACCGGTTATAAACGTACAAATTCTCATAACCATTTCGCTCTCTGAGTGTTACATTCCAGAAGGCTGTCAGTAATAGCCACGATGCTACATCGTTGCAATGTATTTTCTTGCAATTTGTCATTCCATTGCTTATATGAACTGCTTCGGGAAATTTGCCATATATGCATCTTCAATCGTTATCATTTAGAATGACAAGACTGTTTTACATATTATCGTATACAAAAGAAAGTAGCCAATTCTTTGGTAATTTTTAGTCAGACAAAATAGCCTCGTTGATTCTAGAATAGCATTATTACCCCTGGTTGCATCCTGACTGTGTTGTAAAAACTGTGCGAGGGAGAGATGTGACATATCATGTCGTTTGGGGTTTTCTTTGAATTCTTTTAGGCTTTCGTTATTTTTGCCTTCGCTTAAAAGTCCCACGAAGTTCAGGCTGTATCCTAGAATGGAAGAATGCATGAGTAAATTGAGACACTATGAATGGCGGGATGTTTAAACGATTCCAAGGCAGTTGTCCCAGATTTGAAATTCATTTCATTAGCAGCCGCGGATGAATAACCATCAGAATAAAAGCGATGAACAATGCGCCCGATTGTGCACACACTCCAAAAGTAACTAAGACTATTAAAATTAGACAACCAGACAGACGCGTTATCTATTTGTAGGGTAAAGCAGCGGCAGAAATGCTTGGAGTTGCTCAAACCGGAAAAATTAGAAAAATTTTGAGAACTTTGGAAAAAAATTTCAGGTTTTTTCCCCTGTTGGGCTGAAGTCTTTAAATTTTAGACGACTGAGAGACACTTTATGTCCATAGTGGAATTATCGGCTAGTCGTCTTGGGAAAAGTTGATATAAAGCGAAGATCCAGACCGAGATCTTGACACAAAATTGGATATGAGCTGTCAAACTGACATTCGTCAAGTTGGTGCCACTGTGACAAATTGCTTTCTATCCAAATGATCATTCACATAAAAAACCTATTAGAGCCGTTGCAACAGTGATAGACAAGCACGTGCGCACGCCTTGGATGTTAACATAACACTGCCTGTCGGACTGACCAAATGAATTCTCCATGTTTGTCTGAAGAACAGTTGGCACGGTTCTTTAGCCTGTTCAGGGAATTTCCCCTTTTTATTTTGGGAACCACCGTTTCGGGGAACCACCGCCACCGCCACCACCAACAACAACAGAAACAACTATTCAAACAACCAGTCATACTCCGGCGTCACCCGTTTAACCCAAACGCACAACTGTTCATCGCCAAAACACATAAGAACCAATGCTAACGTCATACTGATAGAACTTCGCTCATGGGCGAAGAAATTTTGCAACAAATTTGCCAAAATCAGAGAACTACCATACTACTGAAGTTTTCGATTTTTTCTTTCTATATCAGATTTCGGTTTGCTCACAGAAGATCACACATCGATACTGTTTTTCAAGGACACATATTGCTCTTTGCGTAACAATAATGTTCATGTCCGCCCAAAATTCACTAATACTTCCTCATATAGATCAACCAGCTTTTTCAGTTTGTAGATTTACTGGCAGCCACCTAACAAGCTACTTGTTTGGTTTGTTAAGTACTGGCCAGACGGTACGGTTAAAGTTTAAGACACCTAGTTCAGTTTACCACACTGGGAGAAGTTGTTTGCCTATAGTGTCGCAGTGGTTGAACTCGGCAACCAGAAGCATCAGTGACTTGTCTACCCGAAAAAAAACTGCAGTCATATTTGTCCGCTGCAGGATGACAATGCAGGTCATCTGAGCCATCGCCATCCACTAGGTTCGGCTAAGTGGATAGAACACATCAGGCGCCATGAGGATTCCTTAGGCCACCATTGGAGGGACTCGTATTTCTGCATGATCATTCGGGGGCGAGACATCCCTAAACCAACTAAAGGTCAGAGGCAACGCGCATAAGAGAAGTGAACAGAAATTAATCAAACTCCGTTTGTTTTCATGATTTTGCAGACACGCACAACCACTTTATCCGTAAAATCACAAGAACTCTGGTGCTGCATTTGAATTTTGTTGAAAGCTGACTTAGATTTTGGCTGTTTGCGGTTCGGAACAGTTAATCACAATGTTGATCAAAACAGGACTCGTGAATTTTTCTTCAGTGTAGTTCATCAGCGGAACACGCGATTTGCGGTGTAACAACAGTACGTGTAGAATCGATAACCAACTACGCTCAAGACATTCCACGTTTACGAGACTGATTTCTCCAAATTTTTCATTGTAGATGATCAAAATGCTGATGACTGTGGCAATAATGTACGGTTTGTCCCACCTGCCACACCATATACTATACCTGCACGGATCCATTCATCGCGAGTTTTGGCGCAACTCTTGGGCAGTGCGTTTATGGGCACTGGCCACATTGCTGCGTGACTCTTCCACATGTTACAACCCATTCATCTATGCTTGGGTGAACAAAACATTTCGTAAGGATGTTCATCACCTTCTCGCCCTCTCCTGTCTGCCATGTGCCATGTTAAAACAAAAATGCCGGAGCTGTTGCAGCGGGCAACAACGTGTGCCAACTATGAGCGGTCACCCTTTGCCTGTTGACGGAAGTTCCAGTGTTGCCGCACAACGAAGACAATTATGTCGGGTTTCTCACAACCATCATCAGTTATCGCTGCCACTTCGAAGAAACGTTCATGTAGACCAGAAAACATCTATAACAACGATGCGCTCTTTTAACAATCATGACAGACCTATTACTTCTAAGTAGAATTACTTCATTATTCCGGGGTCACACGCTATGATCTTTGCATTTTGGCGGACAAGAAAGGACGATAAATTGCGCGAATAATGTGTACAATATTCAGCTTCAATTTGGAACCATGTACAGCTTGCGAATGTACTGCACCCAATTTATCTCGTGTGCCGTTTACGTGTAATTCCAATATGAAAAACTGCCGTTTCATTCTTCATGTCTCCGGTCGTGAACAGAGAAGAAATTTGTTCTGTCACACAGGCTTGTTTCATGTGGTTGAAAGCAAAAAAGTTCAGTTAGCACACATTTTTATGTTGACGGTTGGAGTGAAAGTCATCGGACTATAGGAACGTTGGTTTATAATTAATTTGACTTTTTGGCCAATTCAAAGCTTTGCCTTACACGTCAAATATCAAGGCATACGCAACACTGTCCGACTTTCATGGATCCAGGCGTAAAATCTCTGGTTCTGTGGATTGCTCTTTTTGCACTTTACACTTCTTTTCGTGTTGATATTTTGTTTAAGATGCAGTGCAGTTAATATGGTACAAGGAGATAACTACCTGGTTTGGCTTACGTAGTTCAAATTTTCACGCTGCATCAGTCAATCAAGTTGCGTAACGTGGACTTGACCAGACTGTCCCCGTTCGCATAACGGTTTTCATTTAACTGACGTTCCAAGGTCGATGAGTTTGCCTCTGACTTTTGCAGTACTGCTGGGTCAGTTGTTCAATAAGTAGATGCATTTGATTCGACGATACATTCATTGTAACTGAGGCTATTTGAACACCCTCACCCAGTATTCTTCTCAGAACATGCGACCGTTCATAAAGCCACCTGTTTACATGTATATGACAAGAAAGAACTGGTAGATGGACATGGAACGTGTTGAGCGCTGGAAGTACGACTACCGTGCGCGTCTTGAAAGAAGTTTGGGAGGCATTACGCCAGTTATCGTGACACCCTCCAGAGTCCAGGTGACAGGCACACCAGGTATGGAAACCGAAAACATTTGGTGCCCCAGGCCCAAGAAATTTCGAGTCTAATTCTGCGTTCCACGATTACAGCTGATTTGTGATTGTACTTACATTGGTGCGTCCAACTGGGTTCTCACACACAAGATCTTGCTTCATTGGTGCATGAACTATGGATAACCTAAGATATGCAGTACAAACGGAATGGAATGTAAAATTTCGGATAAAGTACTTATAAAATGCAAAGTTACGAATAAAGTGTCACTGCTTGTAGCCAAAACGTAGTGGAAATGTTTGAACAGCGTTGAATTGCTACAAAAATTAGGAGTCAGAGCCCCTTGGAATCAATCCCTTTCGACAGATCAACTAGCTGCGGACTAACTCTGGCGAACGATATGCCAAAAGCCACTGAATAATGGAAAAACATTATACTAAGGCATCCGTGCAAAGTGTCTTATTTCAATACTAATGGAAGGAAGAAGGCCTTCGCTGCGGAGCTATTTAAGTAGGAAATGCCAACTGACCGTTGAACAGAAAAGCAAAACACTAATCTGCATCTTAGGTACAAAAACTGGACACCGATCTTCTCCCGAACTAGTCTTCTTGAACTTTCCTGGAGATTCATTGACTCCACTCATTCGTCGGTCAAATCCAAGCGAATGTTACAAAGTGGCTCCACGAATTCCGCAACAGATCTCCTTTTTTCAATAGACGCAAAGCGAAAATTCTACGAACAGCACAATACCACTCGTGTGCCTCCCCATCAGTAGTATCACCGTTACACTAATAGTAGCATTTTGCACTCAAAATTCCAACTGGTGTGCTGGGCGGCAACTTGGATTTGGGGAACATTTTCCGATCAGCGACCCTTGGCCGGACAGTTTAAACTGCTAGCTGGGTGATAGGGGTTCAAAATCTCTCAATGTATTTTCGCGATGTGTGCTCTTGTCAATTCCTAATAGAAGTGAAGTAGCTGCGCAGTGCCTCTCGACACTTCAGCATACATCGACTTCACTTATAGGATGGAATCTCAAGTGAAATCACTTTTGAATTTTGGTGATGCATTAGAATGAGTGAAGGCGAAGGTGACTCTGGGTTACCAAGCAAACATGTTTTGAGGGCACTGCGAACTACAGGTGTTGCCCCAAGGTAAACAATACAAGGAGCGTTGTACGAAGACCACCTACAAACTCTTTGTTGCTTTTAATAGCATCAATAATGTAGCGTGTACCTACATAAACAGATGTGTGTATCCACATGATATGTCCTTCGAGGAGAACTTCGAATTCTGGGCGGATACCTAAACTTTCTAAAAGAAATCACTGTTAAATCCCTTCAGAGCGCTAAATTACTCGCCCCAACAGAACACCTTTTTACTCAAGCGACATCACTGCAACCTGCACTGTTCAGATTAGTGAAAGTTATGTATGAAAACCGATCGAAACATAAATTTTACAAGCAGAAATTACACAACTCGTTGCATTCTCTCACGGTATAGGGGCTATCACATCCCTTTCCTGAATGAAATGTCATTTTTAAATTAACTGATGATTTGCCTCTTTTATCGTAGAAAACTTGGTAATGGAAGGTGTGAGGTATGAACAAGTGTGGCACTATCATAGGCAAAATATCAGATTGAAACAATAACTGTGGGATGTCGTGGCTTATTGTGATCTTCAGTAATGGCTGGCCATAGGGTGTTCGGCAATCTGACTCTTTCCACCCAAATTCACTGTTGCGCTTTGTTGAGAGAGGATAAGCGTCCACCAATCAACTTCAAAATCCAATAACTGAAGTCAATCACTGCTTGTCTCAAACTTTCATGCCACAATTGAGTTCCGGTCCGCTCGGCTATCAATCATTTTGGCTTCATCGCAATTTCCAGGCAAAGGAATGCAGGTAGACACTGGGAGTGTTTGACGCAATCTGTCAACAAGCAGGCTCACGTGCGCTTATCAAGCACTCCATTTCCGATCACTAGTGTTTGCTGAAGTTGCAG